AACTATCCTTCGGACATGCCTTGTTCAGATCCGTGTAATCTACACACATCCGCCAGGTACCATTCGGCTTCTTGACAAGGACAACATTTGCTACCCAATCCGGGTAGTAGCATTGCCGAATGAACCCGACGTCTAGGAGCTTTTTGACCTCAGCGGCTGCCGCCTGAGACCTCTCCTCGCCATGATCCCTCTTCTTTTGCCTAACCGGCTTTATTTTAGGATCAACGGCTAACCTGTGGACAAATAGATCCGGGCTGACGCCTGGCATCTCTTCCTCTTCAAAGGCAAAAATGTCTTTGAATTCTATTAAAAGTTGGAGCAGGCTTGCCCCCAATTTTTCAAAAGCAACCGTCCCAACTTTGACGGTTCTGTCAGGGCGGCTATCGTCCAAGACGACATCAATGCTTTCACCGGCCGTCTGGGGTCGGGAGTCATCCGGCCTTTCCCTGGTCAGTGATTGCTATTTTGTTTTTCTGGCGGGGGCCATTTGGTCCGCCTTTCGCTTTTTGCCGACTGCCTTGGTAGCAGGTGCAACTTTTGAGTCCTCAAGGTCAGCAAGTTCCTGGATATGACCGGCTGCAATAACAGTCGGCCTGACGTCTGAGAGGTAACACTCCCTAGCCGTCTTCTGGTCCCCGCTTAGGGCACCCACTGATCCGTCATCCCTCTCAAACTTGATCAGCATAAGAGAGGGGATGATGACTGCCTTGGACTTGTTGAGGATAGGACGGCCCAGAATAAGGTTGTAGGCGGTCAATTCCTTGACCACCAAAAACTTGACGACCATGTGTCGTCTTTCCCCCTTGTCCCCTAGCCGGATGGGTAGGTCAATCCTGCCCACCGGATGCACTACTCCTCCCCCAAAGCCGACTAGGGGGTGAGGAGCCTTGTGCATATTGCTAGGCTTTTACTTGAGCTTTGTCAAGCACTGGTAGCTGATCAGGTCAAACGAGCTCCCGGTATCGATTAAGATCCGGCCAACTCGTTGATTGGAAACTTTAAATTCGATGACAATGGGGTCATCGTGAGGCCGCCTGACCATGCCCCTATCCTTCTCAGAGATGAAGACCTCAAGGAAGGTGTCTTGCGACGCCCGACCCTCATCCTCTGGGTTGGATGATTTTCGGATGTTAAGATGGTGGGACCTCCGCTTGCTAAGCCGCCTGTTATGGTGAAGATGTGCTCTTCATCCGTTTCAGAGCTAGCAGCCGGTTTCTTGGACGGCTGTCCCCCACTTGGTTTGGGGTTGCCCTTGGACTTCACCAGATAGGACTCCAGGGCCCCTTCATCAGCCCGACGGTCCAATAGTCGCCTGAGGCTATAGCAACCTTTGGTGTCATGGCCAACGTCCTCATGGAACTGACAATACTTGCTTTTGTCTCTGTTCTTGATAGAGCTTTTCATTGCAGCCGGTTTTTTCAATTGTTAACTGGTCCTTTATCTCCATGAGGATGGAGGAGCAGTCTTTTTTGAACTCGTACTTGGGGACATACGGTTCAAACTTCCTCTGCTTCTTCTGGGACTGCTGACCTGGGCGGTCAGATGCCCATACTTCTTTTCTTTTCTTTTCTTCTTTTTTGGCCGGCTGGGTAGGCCGGCTGTCTCTCCTGTCAGACCGCTTGGGTTCCGACGGATGCTTGATGGCGCAGAGCTCTGTTGCCTGTATATAGGCCTCCGCCTCCATCAACGCCTCTTGGAGGGTAGCCACCCTCTTACGGACAAGATCAAATTTGAAAGTTGACCCATCCTTCAGACCCTTGAAGAAGTCTGTATATGCAACTTCGTCAGACAGCCCCTGAATTTGAATTCTCATCAGGTTAAACCGTCTGACATAGGACCGGAGACCCTCCTTGTCACCCTACTGGATTGCCCCTAGGTCGAGACTTGTCTTTTTAGTAGGGATATTCATGGAAAAGTTGGACGCAAACAAGTATGCAAGCGTCTTGAAGTTGTTGATGCACCCATCCGGCAGGTTGCCGAACCATCGCTGGGCTATGCCCTTCAAGGTAGCCGGGAAGCATCTGCACCAGGCGGCCTTATCCAACACCTGTAAATACATGAGGTTGGTGTATGCCATTAGGTGGTATTCCGGGTTGGTTGTACCGTCGTAGGCACCAACCAACACATTTTTAACCTTGGCCGGCTGTGCCGCCTCGGTTATTTCCCGGGAGAAAGCCGAAGGCTGTTCCCCTAGGTTTAGCAGCCGGAGCTGCCAGTCCATAGGCTGGACCTGATATGCCACCTGACCCTCGAAGGGAGCCGACTGCATGAATGGAGATCCATACGGGCCGTATTGCTGTTGGGGCACATACGGAGCCTGTTGGATCACGTGAGGGCCAGTACGTGCGGACACGCCGCGCGACTGACTCCCTTGTTACGTCTCCGAGTGCTTCATTGAAGCATTTCGGAAACTGTCTGAGTAGGTCGACGTTGAGGCCGACTGAGACATACTCTGACTTTTCTTCTCCTGGATTAACAACAAGGCGTCAGAGAAGGTCTGTTTTGACCCATCCGGCTGTGTATGCTGGATGGCCTTCCGTTGCCCTGATTCAGGGAAACGAAGCTTTGAGAGATCGATCAGGGGCCCATCCGTCCCCTTAGGTTTGGGGTGCGGAGTAGGCACCCGGTCTTTGAGTTGCTTCTTCCCGGAGGGAGAAGGCTTCTTTGCCGACTGACCCTTGCTTGAGCCAGCTGACTTTTTGATTATGTCTTTGATTTCCCCCTTGAAACTAGTCATAAGATTCATGAGTTCGTCTCTGGTGACAAGGGCTACCCCCTCCGCCGCCTGGGGTTGTCCAGTGTGCTTGCTGCCTGGGTTGCTGTCTTGGCCTCGTTCCTTCTTTTCTTTGGAACGGGTGCGTCTAGAGCGGAATGACCCGTCTGGGGCCATATAGTTTTCGACATTGAAGTCGTCACCACTTCCACTTTCATGGTCAGTATGGACCTCGGAGTCAGCCGTAGGCCGGCTGTCCTCTGCATTCGGTCCAGCATCAGAAGAGTTACAATACGGAGTATGCGCGTCTGACTTCTGTACCTGCAAAAACCACGAAACTCCGGTTGGGTTATTATGATTCCGGATGAGTAAACGGGCGAAAAGTAAATGTGTTTTTCTCACTAATTCAGAGAGATTCCGCAATTAATATTGCTCGGGTTTCGTGTATGTATTTATGAATCTCCAATAAATGAGGAGGATTCCTCTATTTATAGTGGGGGAGGCATGCTCCCTGATTAGGGTTTTGATGCCACGTGTTATCATCCGATTGGATCCCGTTGGGCCTCTGATGGGCTGCCACGTGTCATCATACTACTGAGCCATGCGGCATAGGGTATTTTTACCCTAAACATTAGTGAATGAGCCAATCATCATTGTTTAAAGTGTACGATAATTATACATGATACAATGTTGCTTATTTGGTTTTTACTTTTGTGAAAAGGAAGATATTATGCGTCCGAGTCTCTCTCTCTAACTAGAGATTATCCAGGTTAGCCTTTCATTACAACTCATAGGTAACCTAAGTGGGAAACCTAGAACCTCAACCAAAAGCTAATATTGTAACCTCTAAGTCCCCAGTGGAGTCGCCACTGTGAGGAGGGTGGCTCGTCGTTGGGGATCCCATTTCCTAGCCCTAGTGCGGCCTCTACTAGCTCTTCCTTTTTCACAATTTTATTACCAAATAATATATGTATAATAGAAACATTAATCACAAAAAGTCTACATTACAACGAATGTCGTTATTCTTTTTTAATTGAATTCTTGAAAAGAATAAAATAAACAATATTCGCCTTGACTTAGGTGATAAAACAAAATTTAATTATTCCAATTCTACTCTTCGTTTAACGAAATAATACTACGTGAATTAATTAATTAGATTTTATTTAAAGTGAACAAACAACGTTAACAATAATTAATTGATTAAAGTTATTTAAACAAGAAAGGAAAAGTGATTTAACTAAGTGCTCAGGAAACTAACTATTCTCCTTTTTGCTAGATCTCCGTTTTGGGCGTTTATGGACTTCCCTCCTTCTTTGTACCTCCAAGGACGTCAATGGAATAAATTAGGGTTGAAGAGTAGTTGGGAAGAGAGGGGAAAAGTAGTATGATAGTAATAGAGAATTTTGGAGATTACAGTTTTTAGAATTCTAGGGTTTTAATTCTGATTTTTCTGTTGTGTTTAAGGCTAACGAAGAACCGCGGCGTTAGGGGGCGCACGCAACTCTCAAAGTTGCGCTGGAGTGCCGGGCGCAACTCTGGGACTTGTGCGCGGCAAGCGCGCACAACTTTGAAAATTGCGCGCGGTGCGATTTGCTTTATACGAAAACGCGTTTTTAAAACTTCCATAACTTTTGATTACAAAGTCGAATTAAGAGAAATAAGATATAATTGGAAAGATATGAATGTCTACTTTCCAATGCCGTTGAAATTAGGTTAAAATCTGTTATGAATCAAAAGATATGGCCGTCTGCGTGCAAGGGTGTCGGTTTTAGGGCCTGATTTAACTTCTTCGTTTTAACTTAGAATTGGGCTTATAATATATAATTAGAAAGCTCTTTGAAAGGGATATCCATCTATATAAGCTTTGAATGGATATTATGTGGTTAACTATTTTGAATGGCTCGGTTTTCAACAATGTAAGATCCATTTGATCCAATCACAGCATTTGACGCATTTAGATTCGTTATTAATCAAGATTAAACATGTTTGAAAATGTTTTAAGACTAATTAGTAATTGGAATAGGATCTAAGATAATTTGTTCTCAAATACGAGTTCTAACTTACTTCATAATGCATTTCGGTGTCCATAAACTCTTCAACTTCGATCTAGCATGAAGAACGAGTTTTTGTAACATCATCGCACTTCCCATCGGGACAGGACACTAGTAGAAAAAAATGAAATAGGCACCGCACTTTTTGCACCAATTCTTAAAAACCGGTGGTAAAAGAAATGGGCGGGATTGGGAAAAAGACTTTTCGCACCGGTTCCTATTAAACCGGTGCGAAATCATCTTTTTCGCACCGGTTCAAACCGATGCGAATTAAAAAAGAGGAAAAGAAGGGAGAAAGGGATTTCGCATCGGTTCAGACCAAACCGGTGCGAAATAGTGTTTTAGCATCGGTTCAAACTGGTGCAAAATAAAAAAAAAAAAAAAACCGTGCAGTGTATGTATATCTTCTTCTTTCTTTCTTTCCCCCTGCTTTTTCATCTTCTTTTTTCCCTCGTTTTCGCCTTCTCTTCAACCACCTCTGAATTTTCACCTTCTCCATTGAGCTTTTTCACTCCATTGAAGCAGCCGCACCTCCTTCTCTCTCCATATCTCTCCTCCATCTCCATTGAAGTAGATTCTGAGCTTTCTCACCTCCATTGAAGCAGCTTCGAGGTCAGATTTTTTTTGTAGTCTTCTTAACCTATTGAATTCCTTCGCAATCTAGGGTTTGTCGTTGATTTGCTTTTCAATTTAGTAATTTTAGGGTTGTGGTAATCTAGGGTTTGTCATTGAAGCACGCACAACTCCACCTCCACCACAACGGCCTCCTTGTCACGGCGGCACGACCTTCTTTTTCTAGGGTTTATCGTTAATTCCCCCCTTTTTCTTCGATCTCCTTTTCCGCCACTGCGCCGCAAGTGTTTCCATTGATGGCTAGGGTTTTCAAAAACATTTTTCATTCAATATCTGCAATTTTATCGTCCTTCTCATCGCTGCTCATGTCATAGCTTTGGTACCACCAATCACACTCTTTTTCTTCATCTTCTTCGTTTCAATTTTCTCTCATTTACTTTTGTTGATATTTCTATTTTAGGTGTACTGAATTTTCAGAGTTGCAACTGAGAAGCAGCAACAATTTCCTGGAAGATCCAGAAAACACTGATTTTGCCTCCTTGTGCATTGTATGTTCCGCCGCTAACCCTAATTTTTAGTTTAATTTTGTTTGATATTTGTTGATTATTGAAGATTTCTTGTGTACTGTGTGTGTTAGTGTGTGATTGCTGTGATTTTGTTTTTGTTTCTTTGAGATGTACTGGTGCAACTGTATAAGGATGCGTCACTCTGTTTTACAGACTTGTTGCATGTATATAAAAAAAGTTCTTAGTACATGTTTCATGGAAAATTGTATTGATCTGAGGCACATAGGTAAACATTGATACAAAGCAGTGATTCTCTGCTTGCATCAGCTTTTGCTTTAGTGATGTATGATGTTTTTTCCTACAGGTTCTGAAGGCATTTCATTATCCCGTGACAATCACATTGATTCAATTTGTTGTTGGGTCAGTGCTTGTTACCTTCATGTGGATGTTCAATCTGTATAAGAAGCCAAAAGTTAGCGCTGGGCAGGTAGTTTATCAGTTTATTTGTAAAGCTATTCTGGACACTTATTTTCGGGCTGTGGTTTGATGAAACTTATAAGAAACATGCAGGCCTTTTGCTTTAAGGCATTTACGCTAACATTACTTGTCTATGAATTTGTGTGTATATCCATTAACATTTATCCCTTCTCACTTTATTATCCTTGAAATCTGCTCCCAAAGATGACATCATTGTTTACATTGATTTGCAGAGAGTGATAGGCCAGTTCTTGTCATCAAGGGTCCAAATGGAAGAATTAATAGAGCTATTTGGGGGCCTTTAAACAGCACTATAATTAGTTGTGGCGAAGATGCTATCATCCGTGTCTGGGATCTTGTGGTAAGAAGCACTACCAATTGTATCATTTCTGTTTGTTATATAATTGTATCCACATAGCCTTGAGTCTTGGAACTTCATGAAAGAACAGTGTGCCTTAAAATTCTGTTATATGATTTACGTACGCTTGAGTTCTTTTTGCTGCTTTTGCCATGTTTGATATTTAGTGCTCCAAATTGCAGGCAGGCCAAGAGATGATGTCTACAAAGGACCATAAATATGGTCACACGAAAGCAATTACATCACTTTTGTCTATCTGCAGACAAGTCACATTTCCTTACTGGCTCTCTGGATAAATTAGCAAAGGTTGTATATCTCATGATATTTGAATGAATTAAGATACTGTTTTGATTTTTGTTTGTTTTTTTACTAACATGGTTAGTTTTCTTTCTTCAGCTCTAGGACACAAGGACTTTAACTCTCCTTAAATCCTACAGTACAGAGCGACTTGTGAATGCTGTTACCATGTCTCCTTTACTGGACCATGTATGTTACTTTAATTTTCATTTTCATTTATTTTATTTCTTCTGATTTGTTGTTTCCAGTTTTACTAGCTGTGTGGTGTTTATATTTTCACTGCTCCTGTTTTCCCATGGTATATTTCCTTAGGGCAAGAAATTTGGTATCTGAATGGTTTTCACTACAGGATGTTTGATGACTTGGTGAGTCTTAAGCCTCAACTGGATCATCATATATCTCACTTTGTACTCGTATCACCATAGTTATGTTAGATAGCAGTTAGCATGATGAATGAGAGATGTCGGGATTGATTTATTGCTACCCTATATGATATGCTTTTAATTTGTTATAAGGCTTTGAATGCAGTTTACTTATTCCCTGTAGTTTTGTGGTCTGATTTCTAGTTTACACTTTCTGCCTTAACATGTGTGTGAAATTGTATACCATTCTGAGAAAGGAGATTAAAATTCTACTTAGATAATTGTTTCATATTTCTAATGATATGCATTTTATGAAGTCTTAGGAAGACTATGACATGAGTACATTGCCAAGTCTTTACATTGTCACTTGCTGAGATGTATTTAGTGTATTTACAATAGAAATAATTTAGGATGGTGGGCCTTAAATAGATATTTAGTTGAGCTGCAAAATGCTTTATAAGCTCATGGTTACCTAGTCTCTCTAAAGAATCAAGAGAGGAAAAAGTTTTTTTTTTTTTTTTTTTATTTTATTTTTTATATTTATTTTTTGAGGGGGCAGGATGGAAAGTTAAAATTTCTGTCTTGTTATTGGTTGACAGCAACTTGCTACGTATCGCTATTACTATAAAAGCTTTGCAGACCTAGAGGCTCAGACTTAACTTCTGAGAGATTAAACCCTTTATATGCACACCCTTGTACACTTTACAAATCCCTCCCCTCTTTTTTTTTTTTTTAAGTTGATAAATCTTCCTTGGTAGAAATATACAAACAGTACATAAATGAAAGGAGTTTTTATCTATGCTTTTGCAACTCAGGAATTAAAGTGCTTCCCTACTCTTCAATATGAGATAGCATCAGCTGCAAATTCAGCACTAATGAGGTTTTGTGAAGAGAGCAAAAAGACAACTTTGCGGTTAGTAGAGATAGTATCCTCATATATCACTCCTGATTTCTTTTGAAAGCTCTCTGCAACAAATGTGGTTCCATATACAGAAGCTTACTACCTAAAGATTAGCTCGAATGTGGCCTCTTATGTCAATATGGTGTCAGAAACACTAAAGAACTCAATTCCTAAGGCTGTGGTGTATTGCCAAGTCAGGCAGGCAAAGCTTTCATTACTGAATCAGTTTTGCTTGCAACTCGGTAGGAAAGAGGTAATCTAAGTATCTAACAGTCAAATCTTATTCTGGTATTTGTTAAATTGGTTCAATTGGTTTGATGTCTATGACAAAATGCGCTTCGAATTATTGGTTCAATTTATTTGGTTTTTCCGTATCTGTTTTTCCTCGAACCTAGACATTGAATGATTAACTTCAGTCCTTGGTTACAATGTTGCATCCCTCACTAGGTTGTTTTGAGTTTAAATTACCCTGTGCCTATTCCCTTAAGAATCGTATTCCCGCTTTTAAAATAAAGCCTTACATTTTGGTGTTGCTTGTTTTGGAGGGAGCTTTTCGAGCTAGCTTGCAGGGGACTTCCACAAATGAGCTCCAATTTTGTGTTAAAAGTGGTCAGTTCAAGTGTTTAAACTCGTTCAGTGATTTGAGTTTTTGTATGATTGATAGTGTGTTTGTTCTGATTCTTTTTCGTGGTTCTGCATGCTGATTCAGCCAGCAATACAAACGAGCAATGGCAGCAGCAAGGAACAACAACAACACACAACCAGCAAGCCATAACCAAAGCAGCAACAACAGTACAGCAGCAGCACCACAAGAGAAAAACAAACAGCAGCTAGCAACCCACCCAGCACCCCACAGCAACTCATCCATCACCATGAAGGCATATATGAACAAATTACAGAGTAATTTCATATACAGAATTTTCTTTTATTTAATTTTTTTGGACGAAAATTGTAATATTACGGCTTTTTTTAATGAAAATATGTAACTTTATATATATGTTTGTGTTTATATATCAATTTTAGTGAAAAAAATGCAAAAATAATTTTTTTTTAAAAATTTTTTGGGGCATTTTTAGCACCGGTTTTGAAACAGAACCGATGCTAAAAGTTTTTATTTTTATTTTTTGGGCCATTTTTTGCATCAATTCACTGCAAGAACCGGTGCTAAAAGTATTTTTTTTTTTAAATTTTTGTTGGGAATTTTTCGCACCGGTTCACAGCAAGAACCGGTGTGAAAATTCTATTTTCGCACTGGTTTTGAACCGGTGCGAAAAGTCTTGGGTTTTGGCATCCCTTAAATAAGAATCGGTTCAAAACCAGTGCTAAATGGGGGTTTTGAACCGGTGCTGATTACCAATTTTCGCCTAGTGAGAGGCCAAAAGTAGGCGCCTACACTTATAAGAAACCGCAGTGAAACACTGCGCACACAAAGAGATCCAATAATCCGAAAACCCGTACTTCTTTAGAATGTTAACTGAGGAATCCCACCGAACCTTGTCATAAGTTTTGCTCATGTCTATTTTTACTGTCACCAAATCTTAACCCTTACATATGCTATTTATCTGATGTTAAAGCTCATGACTCAGTAGAATATTATCCGACATATGTCTACTAGGTACAAAAGCATGTTGAAAATATGAAATGAGCTTTGAGGACCTGCTTGACCCTGTTCACCATACACATAGAAACACATTTGTATATGGTATTACATAGGTTAATGGGTCTAAGATGTCCCACCTCCTCCATCGCTGGAAGGTAGGGACCATCGTCCAGCAATAGCTCTATCGCGACGCGATAAAAATATCCTCCGGCGATGGTTTTTAACGTCATGCGATAGTTTTATCGTTCTGCGGCAGTTTCAATTTTCGATGTTTTTTCCAATTTCTCATAGCGTCTTTTCGATTTTAGTTATGAAAAATATTCCCGGCTTTTCCTACGTGTATGTCCTATGTTTTTAACGCATTACGGATGGTCTTTCCAATGCGAACCTTTTTATGCTTATGCCACAATGTTAATCAAAATTACGCGCATGAATTTCTTGAAACTTCCAAGTCCATCAACTCATTCTAATCAATTGCATGCTAAAATAAATTTAGGAATCAATTTAGATATCCTCCCCAGTGGAGTCGCAAAAATTTTTAGGGAGTTTTTCAAACTCATTGAGCCCTACTGTGGTTCATGCTTTTAGGAATGGCGGCGTTCCAAGGAAAAGAAGCTAGAGAAAAAGAGTCGCCAACAAATTTTAGGAACTTGTAAACCGTTCACGGGTGTGAAGGTTACACCCCATTCACGATCACAGAGATCGCTAACTCCATAGTGGTATGGAACCATGACTGGATGTTCGAGGATGATGGTACGAATTGAAAGGAATGGTGTCCTTCCAACAAGTGTATTCTTCCGATAGAGGGTTCAGAATTATTACAGAGTTAATTCTTCAGTAAGATCGAATGATCGGAATGCCTAGGTGGAGGCCGCTTCCGATCAGTAATATCGAGGTACAATTGATATTACAGCTTAATCTTAACTGAACCCTTCGGGTCGAACCCAATCGAATCACCGATCCGAGACGACGAATTAATCCGAAAGGATTTAATGAGTCGACAGAGTTTTACGAATACAAACGTCGGATATCGAGCCTAGGGCGTCGAGGCCGAGCGTCACAAAATCACAAGCGACAAGTACGAGCGAAGCCGTAGCAACACAATTGTCTAACCATGTGGATGCTAGGCTAGTTCGAGCTAGCATGCACCTAGCATGGCTAGGCGCACCATCGCAGCTCATCACAGCCCATCGCAGCCCATACAGCATCGCTAGGCGCACCATGCGTGCCCTAGGGTGGCTGGGCACCATCGCAGCCCAGGCAGCATCTCTAGGCGCACCATGCGTGCCCTAGGATGGCTGGGTGCCGTCGCAGCCCTAGCACAATGTTGGGCGCGCATGGCAGGACCACACGCACCAAGCACAGCTAGTGCTAGGCACTGGCGCATGCGTGGTACGTGTTGCAAGGCCGAGGCTGATGTATGCATAGTGCGTGGTGCATGGCCGAGGCTAGTGCGTGTGGATGTGCGAGTGTATGCGAGGAAGAGCTAGCAAGCAGCGTCAAGCCCAGCATGCGTGGCTCGCTAGTAGCACGCATGCTAGGCATTACGAGCATGGGGATGGATGCGTGGGTGCGCGTAGTTTGGGAGTGTGTGAGTGTGCGAGGCAGTGCGTGGGAGTGCTAGGGCCAGCGCCAGCACGCACCAGCGCCTAGCACCAGCACGCACGAGCGTCAGCACACAACACCAGCACAACCCAGCACCAGCACGTACTGGCTGGCTGGGGTGCTGGGCAGCAAGGCAGTGCTAGCTGGAAGCCCTAGCTGGAAGCCAGCTAGCCCTCCTTGACTCGGTTTTGTGCATGGATGTGGGGAACAAATCAAGGCCTTGGGGAGCAAGGCAAATGGTCCCCCCCTCCTAGCCTTGGCCATCACTCAAGCATGTGATTGTGCCACTTGTCGCAATGTGATTAAGTTGATTATTTATTTAATTTAGAATTAAATAAATTATTGAATTTTACCAACTCTCCCACATTGATGGGAGATTGGAAATCAAGGGTGCATTTGCTTATAAATACCAAAGGGATGGTATTGGGAAACAACACAACCTTGAGTGGAATTAAAAAGGCAACTCTTATAATTAGAGTAAACATTTGATTCGTAAAACTCATAGTTTTGTTTTTTCCGGGTCTTGACTAACCTTCAAGACTTAGGACGCTCGGGTCGGGTCGAGGGTACGATCCGTCGAAGATTTCGTAGTTTCGGGATTTTGAAGTAAGAGCTCTTCGGGAGCGAAACACACAACAAAGGTATAATTCTTGTTCTTAATCTTGTTTGATTAAGTTTATTATGCTTGTTAATTGCTTTAATTAAGGGGCAGGTCTTGGGGGGTTTCCTTCCGCGTAGTGTCGGGTCACTACGAAACCCTACAGCGGTATCGGAGCCACGCTCCTTTTAATTTTTGCAATTAATTTCTTTAATTAAGGTGTTTAAAAGAATTTATTTTTCTGGTTCATGTTCTTCTAATTAGATTAGATGCTCGTTTTAATTAATTTTAAAACTCGATTTTATTCTCGATTTGGCTGTCGAACCAAGATTTTGGCTTAAAAATAGTGATTTTTGGGTGAAATCGACATTCTGGTAAGGATTCACTCCTCTTTGAAAGTTGTCCAGAAGCCTAATTCGAACCAGAATTTTTCTAGGGTTTTTCGTTTTTCAACGAATATTTAAATTCTTTTTAAGCCTTGATTAATGCAAGCATTACAAGGTTAGATTAAATGCACATTTGCATCACTAATCTACTGGTTTTAAAATATCCTTAAGCATAATAATGGAGTTTTTATTAGTGCTTAAGTTGATATACCATTTTTCACATAAACTTGTTTTTCACAAATTTTGCAAATAAATTGCAATAAAATATGAAAGCTTGTTGTGATCTTGTAATTTTAGGTTCCTATAATGTTAAAGTTCTAATCTTTAAAGGTTTAAATGATTAGAACCCTAACCTTAAATTCCATATTGAACAAAGTTTGGATTTTTCATGTTCGGTTGATTAAAATCCATCAAGTTCAAATACTTGTGAGTAAAATTTGATTAATCTTCATATTGGAAGATGTAATCTTGGTATTTTACACAAGTATGAAAGTTGGAAATTTTTTCATTAGATGATTAGTTTATTTTTTCCAACTCCCATTTCTCAAATCCTTTATTAATTTGCATATTGGCAAGATTAATTATGGACATAGCTCATTTTATTTCAAGCATTAAGAAAGACCTAATTTTGTTCAAAATAAAAGTTTTGGATAATTTAGGCTTGTGCACCAATAAAATTAAATTTATTTGAGTTAGACTTATTTTATTTTATTTTATTTTTCCTCAAAGTTGATTCTAAAATGTAATTTAGAATTAATTTATGCCACACATAAATCGGAATTAAAATTTCGAATAAAATGCACGCAAATCGATGTAAAACCGCAAGCGTCAACAAGGCTAGCCGGGCTGCGTAGCAGCCCACATGTAGGCTGCGTATAGTGCGCATGCCTGAGCATCAATGTTGTGTGGCTGTGTTGCGAGGGGTGCTAAGGCTGGGCTTGGGCAGTGGCTTTGGTTGCTTGGTGCTAGGGGCGCTGCTAGGCAGCGTGGTAACAGGCACCAGCTAGCCTTACTTGCTGTCAGGCGCCAGCATGCGAGCAGGCATGCGTGGTGCTGGCCAGCGTAGTGTGCTACGCTGGGCGCAACACGCTAGAACCAAGCGCTAGCCCAGCCCTTGATGCTGCTGGTGCTGTGTGGCATAGGCTGCTGTCAGCGAGGCAGCAAGCCCCAGCCAGCCAGCCCACTGCTGCCTAGCAGCCATGGTGCGCAATGCACCATGCTTGGGTGAGGCTTCGTTGCTTAGTTTTGGGCTATGTGATTTTGCGAAAATCTTGCCGTTTTAATAATTTTAAATAATTATTTTAACAAGGTTAAAAACCTCGATTTTCGATTTTGCAAAATTTTGACAATTTTTGGGATATGCCGACTTAATTAATTGGATTAATTAAGTATGGATGTGGAATTTAGTGGGAGCTTAATTAATTGCGTGAGCGTTTTGCGTTTAGAAATAATGGATTAAACAACTTTGACTAGTTTTAACTAGGCGCGTTAATTGGATTAACCACCTAAGTTAGTTACTAGTTTTGCGTGTTTAATTATGTATTTCGTAAAATTGCATGGGCCATTCACAAATAGTGAATGGGTGAATGGAAGATTGTTTTCAAAACAGGTCTTTGAATATGGCAACTAGTGGGGGCCCGATTAGGATAGAAAATACGGACTGCGTTCCGTTATGTATTTTTGTAAATCTAAATACGGCCTGCGAACCGTTAAGTATTTTAGTACTATTAGATTAATCTTAGTCGTTCTAGCTAGCTTTATTTTATTTTTGGCCAAGATGTCTCA